GAAATGCTTCCTCCCCCCACGTGCGTTATAGCCCTTTGATTGCGGTTCTTTGTTTTCCTTCCGTGTAACCCGGGGACAATAAAACGATTAAAAAAAGAATACCATCCCACCCTTTCTCTGCCCTCCCACCCCTGCCTTCCCTCCATCTCCCCTGGCAGCGCCTTTGTCCTCTTGCCCTCTCTGTTTTCTCAGCCCCCTCCCTCCCCCGTGTCCCCCTCGGAGGGGGCAGTGCCCGGTTGCTGAAGCAGCAGCTCCAAAACAACCCCCCCAGCCATATCCTGAGGCCATGGAGAGGTCACAGATGGAGGAGAAAACCAGGCGATGTGTCTTAAACAAAATCTGCCCGTGTCCTCACCGGCCGGGGTTATTTCATTTTTATTAAGCCTTTTATCACGCTAGTTTTTGTCCTGGTGTGCTCAGTGTGTGCCTGCTATAACCAACAGTGTCTGGAGGACATCCCCGGCCAGGCAGAGTCACCTGCAGCCTGGGTATTGCCCCGTACCAGGAGGGAGGGAGATTCCCAGGGCAGTTTGCCACCTCCCCTGCCCTGTCTGTGCACTGCCAGCCTGCCCTGGGATCTGACAGTCGCCCCAGAAGCACCGATCCTGCTGCTCCAGGGCAGGGATGCTTGCTCTATGCTGGGCCAGGCAAATCCTTAGGGATCCCATTAAACTAGAGATGTAAAAATATCTCCAGGGTCACACTGGGAAGTCTGTGGCAAGCCAGGGACTGAGTTAAACTCTGCTTATTCTCGGCCTGCTTGTTTAGCCCCAAGATCATCCTTCCCTCCTCGAGTACCAGCCCCACACTTTGAAGTGGTGATTGTGGCTGTGGGCAGTTTATGTGGGGTGGGAGTTTGATGTAGCTCTGCTTTGTACCTTGTGTGTATTGCAAGGTCTCTTTCCTGAGAGCCTGTCGACTTCAGGCTAAAGAGATTCCCCTTTAGTGGGTGAGAAAGTTTCACAGAATCACAGAATGTCAGGATTGGAAGGGACCTCAAAAGATCATCTAGTCCAATCCCCCTGCTGAAGCAGGAACCTAAATGACATCACACAGGAAGGCGTCCAGGCGGGTCTTGAATGTCTCCAGAGAAGGAGACTCCACTACCTCCCTGGGCAGCCTGTTCCAGTGCTCTGTCACCCTTACTGTAAAGAAGTTCTTCCTCAGGTTTAAGCGGAACCTCCTGTGTTCCAGCTTACACCCGTTGCCCCTTGTCCTACCATTGGGCATCATTGAGAAGAGCCTGGCTCCATCCTCATGACATTCGCCCTTAACATATTTGTAAACATTAATTAGGTCACCCCTCAGGTGACCTAATTAGGTTTCCCCCTTTCTGTGCTGCTGTTGCCCTTAGCTTTGCTGGAAGTGCTCTGGGTGGCAGGATCAGGCCCACGAAGCAGCTCCCGTTCAGATCTGGTGTGGCCCGAGGAGCCGGTGACTCAGTGGGCAACGCTGCTGATTCACCAGGGCCACGGACCCCCAGGAAGCTGTTCTGGTCCAGGGGAAGGTCTCTGGGAGAGTGGGGATATAAATCATCTTGAAGTGCTGGGCACTGCTCAGAACAAAAGGTCCCTTGGGGGTCTATAGCACCAACCTTGCAAATAATAGGCTGTAAAACCACCAGAAAAAAAAACTCCTTGAGGTTCCCCCTTATATTCCTATTCTCCCTAGGTGTGGGGGAGCTGAGAGGACCTGTTGGCTACTTAAGGGCTAAGGTGGTCTCATCTCAGAAGTTGCAGTGATAAGATATGAGCAGGTCACCAAGCATCCTTGGGATCTGGCCTCAGGCAGGGCAGGTAGTGCAGAGCAATCGCACACCAAGTTGCACACCAGCCCAGTTCCTTCCCTCGCTTTCTGCCTTCTAGGGGTTGAGTGTGTCCCATCTTTCATCTGTGTAGGTGCAGTTTCATTCTGGGTGAGCTCAGCCCCAGCAGGGCGAGCGTGGTTGTGTGGCAGGGGAAGAAGAGCTCGCAGAAAGATAGAATAGCGGATCCTCCCTTGGTGCTGACAAAGGGTTCTATTATTTATTGATTAAAACCGAAGTGCAGCCCTGCTCTCTGCGATGAGCAATCTCGTATTTGCAGAAATGACCTCAGGGAAGCTAGGTTGAGTGGGGAGGGGGAAGAGAGGAGGTTGCTGGAGGAGGGGATGAGAAGATGACTCACCGTAAGAACGGCCTGCAATATCCTGATCCCCAAGGCTTGTAATTAACCATTCACCAGCTTCAGTCTTAGCTGCCCCAGAGATGTGAGACATGCATGTCCGTTTGAACACACATGCTGATTCGGCTTGGGTAGATTTCTCTGCTCATTCAAGAGTAAAAACATCAACACAGGGTGTAAATGGGGATAATGGCTGTTTATATAAACTGGACATATTTTTCCTATGTGATGGCAGTGCTTGGGGTGTGGAGGGAGATAAGGTCAGCTATGCAAAGCAAGGGGATTTAAAAGTCCACTCCGTGAAGGGCAGCTGGAGATCAGGAGAGCAGAGGAGTCTGGAGAGCTGCTTGTGTTTGTTGGTTTTCATACTACCAGTTGTTAGGGATATAATTTTATCAACTCAGTTGTTGTGGATATTATTTCATCAACCTTCCCTCATAGTCTCCACGGTCACTTGGCTGCTTGACCCACTACCTCATGCTGTGAGCTCTGGGGTGAGCTGGCTAGATGGGACTGGGGAGTAGGAGGAAAGGTACAGGTGCTGAGTGCCAGTTGACTGCAAAGTCACCCTCCTGCCCTCTGTCATGGAAAACAGACTTTCATCACGTCCAGTGGGCTTTGGATCCTGCCGGCCACTTGCAACATGAGGACCCCATGGCAGGACTGAGTGGGCGACAGTAGCACGTCATGAATTTGAGCACACAACATCTGCTCAAACATTGCAAACAAATGAGACACCGGCGTTACGGGGCTGAAATGTCAGAGGTAGCTGTACCGGGCAGTGAGGGTGGCGGGGGTTCTGCGGCTGCTCAGATCTCCAGCACTTCCTTTGTTTCGAAATCCTTCCTTGCATCGGGGCACCCACACCTACACCGCTTATCAGGGTGAAACACTTGCAGATGAATGAATCCCATCGGAGGGTTTGCTTTCCGAGCCTTGTTTACTCAAGGGCTGCACTCTGAAAGGTTATTGAATCTAGCTGTTTGAGAGCTTTTGCCGTTCATTTTTGTTCTGAAAAAGCACAGGTGGCAGACACGTGGCACACCACAGACGTTTCCAGGCTGTTTCTGCTACCTGACTTATTCATGTTCATTTTGGAGATTGTATGCTTCCGTTCAGCAATTTCCAAGCCTGAAAACAGGCAACGATTTAGCTTACGCCAAACTTTGAGTAACAAGTAATAATAGGATTAATTCCTTTTCATTAGCAGTGCACTGGATGAAAGGAATGCAGTACTTAACCGTGCAGAATAGCTCATGTGGGGCTATTCAGTTGTCAAATGCTGTCATAGGATTTCATTAAGTTTTATAGCTGTTATTTAATAGGTTGGTTTCAGTGGGACTGTCTTCATTAACTCTCTATCTCGTGCATTGTGGTGATTAATGACACAGTTGCAAACATCCCCCTCTGTGCTTATGTCCATTCAAAAATGCAAATAAAACATTTCTTATGTTGTCACAGCATATCTAGTAATAATGGATTTAAAGAGGATGACTACTGAGTATAGAAACCTCCATCTCAAATGCTGGAAATAGTGCTCATGTATAAAACCTGGGGGAGGAAGTTTAGTCCCCACTGTATTGGAGTTAATGGTTGGTATACTCAACAGAATTGCATTCACTAACAGTTTTAATCTGGATCCACTGGCTTTTGGCAAGTTAATAATTGTCAGTGGTATCAGAGGTTTTTCTTCTAGCTGTTGGAAGCCTCTTAAACAAACCGGCTTCCCCAGAGGAGGGCTATCCTTCATTAACCCCCCAGCGCCCATCGCCCTGTGGTGCTATCCCACTGCATTGCAAGCACCGGAGCTTCATTTCTCCTCTACTTTAATGAAATCATCAGTTTTTGGAAGCACAAATGCTCATGTTTCTATTTATTTATGTTTCCCCTAGGGGGATATGAAACCTTTAACTCGCAATATCCTGAGTGCTGCGTAGATGGAAAACTCATTTCCCCAGAGAGGACCGAGGCAGAGAGAAACCTCGCCAGCCACTGTGAGAAGCAGAGTGCCAACCACAAACCCGCTTACGACCAGGTGTGTGTCCTGGCCACGGCCGGTGACCTTCCCCTTGGGTCTCCTCCCTCCTGCCACCAGGCTCTGTTGGAGGCTGGCAGGGTGCTGGTGGCCCTCGTGCTGGCTGTCAGTAAGTTGTCACAGTCCAGGCTGTCAACCTGTGTGTCAAATAAGATGCCCCGTGTGTGCTGCTGGTCAGCATCACCTCTGCTGGGATTCAGAATCAGGAAACATAAGGAGGAAAAACACCCTGTGTAGCCCCAAAACTGTATTTATGACCCATCTCTATCAGGCCACCAGGCAGCATGAGCCACGAGCAGCTCACACCTCCCCAGGAGCCTTAAAATGGGCAGGGAAGAGGCTGCCAAGAGCGTAATTTTTCCAGCAGACGAAGGAGCATGCTTTGCCTGTCCGTGCCTCCTCTGAGACCCTGGGAGGGATCTGACGCTGGTGGTGGCTGCTGGGGCTGTGGGGCTGCTGCAGAGAAGAGGCAGCAGCTCTGGAGAGCCGCCCTTGGGCAGGGGAGTGGGGTTTCCACGGGGGAAGTCACCACACACCCACCCAGGCCGGGGAACACGTGTGCTCCGAGATGTCACCCTGTGGTCGGCTGCTTCCGCCCGGGTGTGCATTTCCTGGTGCCGGGGGAGTCCCTGTGTGATGCCCCTCGGCTCCCCCGGGGTCACCTCCTGCCCCAGGCTCTGTCCTGCCCCCCCCCGACCAGCAGCTCCTGGCTGTCCCCGGTGCGTGGGACCCTCCAGGTGGGAGCTTACGTGGGTGGAAAGCCAGTTTCTCACAGCAGGGGGCTGGCAGCAGCTCTTGTGCATCATGGAAAGTTACCTGTGACCTCTGAAACCCTGGTGTCAGGCGGTGGCGTTTTTTCTTTCACGGTCTCGTCACCCAGCCTTTGCTTGCGCTGAGGAAGGAGGAACCGAGATGAGATCTCGGGGCAGGTGACGCAGTGGGTGCTGTGTTCCAGAGAGGCATGGGGAGACGGGGCTGCCCGGCCCCACGGGGCCATCGCCGAGGGGGAGCCTTGCTCTGATGTTTTTGTTTTGCTTCACCTTTGGTGGTGTGAGCAGAGAGGCTGAGCCCTGGGCTGAGCTAGAACAGCCTCTTCCTCCATCCTCCTCTTCCTCCTTGCTCAGACGCAGTTCCCCACCTCGCCCATGTTTTGGTAAAGTCTCAGGGGGAATGGGCCTCACATATGAAAACACTTCGGGTGCATCCCAAGGGGCAGCACTTTAAAAAAAGCCAGAAACTTCCTGCACACAAGTGGGCTGGATCTGACTTTGTACTTCACAGATGTGGACAAGAAAATTAAAACCTTTTCCCTGCGTGGGCTTTGCCGTTGCAGTGATTCACTGGCCGGCAGCACTGGGGTCCAAAACCATCAGTGAGGGAGGGAGCAGGCACCCATGCAGGCTCCCTTGACTTTCTCTGTCTGGTATTAACACTCAAATACCTTTGAAAAAGAATTACATGATCCTGCTCCTTCTCTTTCAGGGCGGACCAGTTGAAATCCTGCCTTTTCTCTACCTTGGTAGTGCCTATCATGCTTCCAAGTGTGAGTTTCTTGCCAACCTGCACATCACAGCCCTGCTCAACGTCTCCAGGAAAAGCTCAGAGCCCTTCAAAGACCAGTATTGCTATAAGTGGATCCCAGTGGAGGACAGTCACACAGCAGACATCAGCTCACACTTCCAGGAAGCCATTGACTTCATCGGTAGGTCCAAATTAACAAGTTCACAAATCTTTAGAAATTCAGTTATTTTAAAATATATTTTCTGTATGTTCCCAAATGTCACAGCAAAAGTTTAAACTCCCTCCCTTCCTCAGCAGCTGCCCTGGCAGAGGGATCTTGGTGAGGAAGGAAGGAAGAGGGACATTCAGAGCAAGGACTTTGTCCTTCTCTCTGGCTCTCCAGGCTGGGAAACTGAGGAAGGAAAATGCTTCCTCTTGACTGCTGTCAGGCAGATGAGGCGAGTGAGCTGGTTAGGTTTATTTTCTTTCAAAGCAAGCGTAGGTGTAATTTCATCATGACAGGAAGCAAAGCAGTGTGGTTGAACAACACCAAAGTCTATTGCTTTTTGTAAAGGAAAAATCCATGTTGGTTCCTTGGACTTTCCTGACAGACCCTGTAAAAGCCAGGTGAAGCAAGGTCAGCTCATTGCCTTGCTGTGCTGAGATATCTCCAAGCCAGGTCTTAAAAATCCAGCGTCTCCCCTTATCACAGAGCTGTTTCTATTTCTCCTTTTGATCATGTTGGTATTTCACCCTTTAATCAAATAACTCAATGCAAGAAAATAAGGAGGCCTTCAGAAAACTTTGAGCCATCCCCTCCCAAATCTTCCTGCCTTAGGCTGGATGGGTGAGCAGCACATTGGCTATGCCAGGCAGTGCCAAGGAGAAGCTTCTCCCTGAGAGGCACAGAATGGTTTAGTGGGGTGCAGCAGCCCCAGCCTGGGTGGAGATGGTGTTGAAATCGGTGCTGTTGCTCTCCAGGAACATTTGAGAGAGAAACAGAATAAAACCTCAGTTCAAGACTTGCTGGACTCATTGCTCAGCTGACTTTGAGTCCTTCAATGGTGCTGGCAGAATTACAAAATCCTGATCTGAGGGTGCCCTCTGAGCCCTTTCCCTTCCTGGTACGGGACTTCTCACACCTTTCAGGGAAATGCTAATTCACAGCACTCTTCTGTCCCATCCCCAACTCCTCCTTATAGTTGTTGAGTCACTTGGAAATTACTCAGATTTTGATGATGACTTTAATTTTCACTTTCTTTTAAAATTGGGCGTGTGGTGTAGATGCTGAGGATGACTCAAATCCATGTCTTCCTTATTTTGTGCAGTAGTTAAATATAACCGGTAGTGGTGACACGAGTTCCCTGGCAGACAATCGACGACAGGCAAATGATAACTTGCTCTGCTCTGTGTTTCAGTGCCATGCACTGAGCACTACACTCAGCACAGTTTTCCATAAATTGGAGCCTGAACATATTGCTCAAGGCAACAGAGCAGAGAACGTCTATTTTTGAATTGTATTTTTGTGTGGAAAGGGCTTATTTTAAGCACATTCTCTTTAATCTAATAACAATCATCGTGTTGTGTGAGTAACCACAGTGGCTCCTGTTGTGCAAAATGGGTGCTTTGCATAAGCCTTTTATATCCTGACTTAAGTCCAAGCATCCTTTAGCCAGGCTGTAATTAGCAACTGCCTACCAGTCTTTGTGTGCTTTGTGGTGGGGCCCCAGGGAGTGAGCTCAGCCTCCCTACCCAAGGGTACCCACCCAGGGCTCAGCTCCTCCTAACACCCTTTGCTGCTAAAAGGGCAAAGAGGGGAATTAAGTTGGGACTTTAAAGAAGAGTTCTGTTTTTCTAGCAAAGCTGATGAGAGGAAGGCAGCCCTGCAGTTCTTGCCTTTGAAAGAGCTGATGGTGGGAGGGCTGGCCAGGCTGGGCTTGGGTCGGCCCTTTGAGCTGCAGGCAGAGATATGTGGGTACAGCAAACACAGCATTGTCCAGATACCTGATCTCTGTCGCACAATGCTCTGCAAAGCAAGTTGTTCCAAAAGAGAAATAGGCACGTGGGAAGGAGACAGGGAAGGACTATCCTGAAAAATGCTAAAAGAACTAAATCAGAATCCACAGACCTGAAACCAAGAGCCATCTGCAGCTCAGCTCCACCACAGGCTGGGTTTTGTCCCCCTTCTCTTTTAACCTCCATGTTACTCCTAGTACCCAACAAAAGAGAGAGCCTCTCCTGTGGACTGGCTGTGTGCCATGCTACACCTCCAGCACCCTGTGCATGTTGCAGTGTCCTCTCTGCCCCCAACAACAACTGACATCTGCAATGGCTTTTTTTTCCCCCCTTAGATTATGTCAGAAGAACCGGGGGCAAGATCCTGGTGCACTGTGAAGCAGGGATTTCACGCTCTCCCACCATCTGCATGGCATATCTCATGAAGACAAAGAAGCTCCGCTTGGAGGAAGCCTTTGACTACATCAAGCAGCGCCGCAGCCTGATCTCACCAAACTTTGGTTTCATGGGCCAGTTGCTGCAATACGAGTCAGAGATCTTGTCTTCCACTCCCAGCCCCCCTGTCGCCTCGTGCAAAAGAGAAGCTGCATCTTTCTTTGCAGAAGAACTGACGTTAGGCAAAAACTTTGAAGGCTCATGTTTTGCTTTTCCTACCTCAGTGTTGAGTTCTGTGCCCATCCACTCTCCTGTCCACCAGCTCAAACTCAGCCCAATGACAGCATCTTCGTCCTGCTGAACACCCTGGGGAGACCGGAGCTGGCGTGGTCCTCTCCAGACTGTGGCCCCAAGAAGAACATTTCATGAACGTGCAATAGAGAAACCTCATCAACTTAGTCTGAGACAGAGCAGTTGTCGTGGGTCGTACTTCCCATATGCTGTGACTGTAAGATGCAAGTGCTCTAAGTGTGGCAGGTTTTATGAACTTTTATTGTCCTTTTTTTAAAAGAAAAAGTGCTTTTTTAGGTTTTTATCCACAGAGTGTGCACCCACTACTGTATTTCCAGATTCCTGGGGAGCAATGAGATATCCATTTAGTATGTTCTCAGTTCCCATTTCCTTCCCTTCTCATTTTTGAAAAGACCCTTATTTAAAATTTCAAGCAATAAACAGCAGCAGCGGGGAAGAAAGCAAAATGAAAAGCATCACCTGTGCAAGGGCAGAGGTGGTGGGAGTGAATATTCCTTAGCTTTTTCTCTGGCTTTCCTCTTCCCCTCTCTCGTGTCATGTTTCAGGGAGTGAAGGGCTGGGGAAGCAGGAGGGAGCTCCTTTCCCAGGACACTGTTGCACAACCAGATGAAAATCCCCTCTCCTGCTCCAGCCTCTGAAGTGTCAGGTATTGACCACAGTGTCACTGGATACCAAACCAGATCGTGGATCCATTCAGGTGTGGCATTTCCTGTACTCCTGCATTTGCCTTTGTACTGGATGTGCTTTTAACTAAAGCAGGGGACTTAACCAAAGCTATCAGGCTACCCTGCTGAGCTATTATCCTCCCATCTGTTATTTAAGAACAGCCCTAGAATACTTGAACGTCTCCACAATCCTCATCCGAGTCACTTCCCATCAGATGACACTGTAACTGCTGGATTTTACACCAAAAATAAAATCTGACAAGCTCGGCTCTAAGCCACCTCTCCCTCCATCCCTCCCAAGTATTCCTGATGTGTATCATGTGTGGTCAAGTGATCTTGTTCAGTGTTATGTGGCTTGCTTAGCATGTGTGGTCACCTAGCCAGCCTTCCTCTGTGAAAACTGGTCACATTTGTTTCTGTGTTTGCAGGGAGTTCAGAACAAGCAGCTCTCTTTGTCTGTTGACCTTTTTATTTTATTTTTTATGTGATATGTATGGGAAATGGCAATAATTTCCAGAAGATCTCGTGAATGTGAAAGAAAACCTGCAATGGTTTTTATGGAGTGTAAAGAATAATAAAGAGAAAAAAAAAAGCCAGGAAAAGCAAGCTGTTGTTGTATTTGGAGTGAGCTGCAAAAGTGCTTTGGCAGAGCTTGGTGGCAAGAGAGGTCACCTGAGAAAAAGGCTATGTCCCAAAAGTGGTATAAGGAGGGAGAAGACCTCCAAGGTGCATCTCTATGGAGGGGAGAAGGTGAGGGGTTTTAAACAGAATGACATGAGTCACAGTGGCCCTGCAGGCACTTCTGTTTTGATTCACATGTTTTATGTAAGATTTGCCATCATGCTGAAGATGAAAATCTGAAGTAGGTACGGCCCCTACTTCCTTCCCAAGCACGTGCCATGGGATGCTGCAGGCCCTGGTCCCTGGCCTGTAGCCACCTGCAAGTGTCACGGCAGGGACCAGGGCATGTGGGTAATACTCATCTTTTCACTTTTTAAAATGAAATTAAATTATTTTGAAGTGCCAGCATCTCTGAGCCATTTCATACCCCTTTTCAGCTGGAAGTTTTTAGGCTCTTTCTGGCTCATCGCTGGCTGCAGCACATTTATAGTCTGCATTTCCAAGTTTTATCTAGTTGAAAAACTGGTAGATGTTTGGGTGAATTACAAACATCTGTGCCCTCTGGAGTTCATCTATTTGAAACATTCTTCCCTCTGGGTAGCAAATCTGACAGGTGAGAACCTGTCATTGGAGATGTGCTTTGTATTTCTTCCCTGTGTCAGGGGGACAAGGCAGCAAGCCCTGCCTGGGCTCTGGGAAACCTGAACATGGGAACCAGCAGTCGAGGAGGTGAGGCAGCTGATCGAGTAAGAGCAGATCAATCAATTTTCTGAAAGATCTGATTGTTCCCTTTGGGGAACTCTGGAAAGTGCTCTCTGCTTCTCAGCCCCTGCAAGACCCAAGCAGAAAGGCTGCTAGGCTTAGTGAGAGCGGCCATATCCTGAGCATGGAGACCTACAACCTTCAGAGAAATAGCAGTCAACAGCTCTCATTAAAAGAGCACAAACCCCGTGCTGGGGCAATGACCAGCATTTTTTCTCAAGGGTGAGGAAACTGAAACCCTCTGCAGAGCCATCAATGTTTGCCATGGGAAGCTGCAGAGCACGGGGCAGGGGGCTGAAGGGGTTAACACGGAGGGACCTGGCAGATTTGACCATAGCAGCTGGAAAAGATCCTAGGCCAGATGGAGGAGCCAGGTATTTAGCAGAGAGGGAAGGCAGCTGCTCTGGTTTTGGAGAGGGGCTCTGATCCCAAGCTTTAGCACAGCATGTTGGTGAACAGTGGTGGCAGAGGGAGATGCTGGGCTGGGATTCAGCAAGGATGGAGGGCCAGAGCCCTGCTGGAGCCTGAGCAGGGTATGTTTCATGCCTGGGCGCAGGAGCGTGAGGTTTGCACTCCTGCCCAGAGCACAGTTCCCCTCTGCTTGGCTGGTACCAACTCATGCCTCCTCCCCTCAGGAGGCAGTCCCAGCATCCAGGGCACAGTGGGATGTAAGTGCTGCTTCCCAGAGGGATGTGATCCCATGCTCCTCCTTGTGCCTGCTTTGCTGTTTCTGCACTCATGTGAGACCTCTGCCACCAGCTCAGCTCTTCCCTTGGCCAGCTTGGCAGATGCCACCTCCCTGAGGGGACACCCCAGCCATCTGACTGCAGGGCTCTGGGTGGGAGGACCTGCTCTCCTCCCTGGCCATGCTGCTCCCACGGGCAAGGAGGAGCTGAGGAACCAAGCTCCAATGTCTAAAGGTGAGTGTGACAAATCAGGACAGCCCCTACTTGGGAGATGGGATGTGTGAGTTTGAACCTGCATGGGCAGGGCAGGAACACTGCCTCTCTGCTTCCAGACACCAGCACATGATAGCTACCTTCATCCTTAGGGAAAGGAACAGCTCTGACAGGGTTTTGTGGCTTGTGTGCTGAGCAAATTCACCAGACTGGGTAAGAGGGAAGATTTAAGGGGCATGGTTTTGGGTAGCTCACTCCTAGGAAGTTCAGATCAGGCAGGTGCATGGGGAATGTCAGAGCTGAAGAATGGGGCTGACAGTGATGGGGGCTAAACTGGCTGGTTCAATGTGCCTGTGTCCATCTGCCAGCTAAGCCTGGCAGAGGAACAGGGGTCTCAAAAACAAAGTTCTGATGGAAAGTAGAGTCCTATATAGCTGTAACTGCAAGGGGAAGGCTATAGCAGGATTCTTTCAGGCATCAGAAAAGGCAAGTGAGGGAAAGATGCCAGGAATGCTGTACCCTTAGGCAAAGCTTTGATTAGAGTTTATCCCTTATGATACCTGAATCCGAAGAAGATGAGAGGAAATGTCACAGAAAAGGGGATTTTGCAGGTTCTGCACGTGTGAGTGCTGGTTAGGGCTGTGCTGGGACATGAGCATCTCTCTCCATTGACACTCCTGATGGTGTGCCCTTATGTCCTGGATTCCTTGGTGTCACTTGGGAGCTGTTTCAGTCCTGATGTGGGACTGAGCAGGGTTTGTGCCAAATAGCTTTTGGTCCTTTGCTTTTAGGCTTGCACAGAGCGGTCATGCTGCAAGCGTGAGTGCTGCAGCTCAGCCCCTGTCTGTGCTTTGCACAGGCTGCCTTTCCTTTCTGCCTTCAAGACAAACAAACTCCTCAAAAAAAAAAAAAGGACACAAAAAATAAATGTTTTTACATGGTTGCAAATCAGATTGTGAAGAGATCTGCGGCGGGGTGGATGGGTGGGTGTTGTCCTTAAGTGTCCCTACCTGTTCATACATTTATATCAGTGTGATTTGCAGCCTCTGCTGGTTATAAAGGCTTCTTTGCTAATTAGAGGATTTTCCAAAAGGCTGACCACTAAAAACCAGGTAAAATTCACCTGCTCCATGTGGAGCTTATACTGAGGTGTCCATACCCAGTCCTTGAGCAACACAAAGTTAGCTTCTTGACTTCTGTTGGCTTAGTTTTTTTCAGGAGACAAAGCCTGAATGAACAAGGTACTCTGTAGACTGTTGTGATTTGTATGCTAAAAACAACACTTGCTTTGTCGGGAAGTCAAAGGTCCAAATGTACCTGTAACAGGGCAAAAGTAAGTGAGGCTCCAGGTGTGGTGAATTTGATCCTCCATCTCTACTTTTCACAGCTTTGTGCTAATTGGAGAGGAGACATGCTGCCAGCTTACTCTCTGGGGAAAAGAAGGCAGGAATCAATTTGCAGAGCCACATAAATATGGAAGTAGGATTTTTTTGGTGTGGGAGGTGTTACCAGTACCACACGTTACGATTCCTTGGCTTTATCACATCGTAGGCTTTTACCGAGACATGAGTAAGTTCTCTAAATAAGGAATATGAAAACAGCTTGTGAAATAGGTTGAGTCATCAGAGAAAAATCAAATTAAGTTCTGACAGCGGGGCCTCAGTTGTAACATCCTACTTTGGTTTACCATTTCATTGTAAACTATGGTATTATTTCAATCTGTTTACTTCAGCTTCAAAATTCAAAGTACTCTGGCATCTAAGTAAGGCTTACCAAGTGGGTTCATTTTTCTGTTAGCAGTGGTGCTGCATCCCACCTATGAACACTTGGCAGGGAACATAAAGATTACCAAGAGAAATGGCTTCTGTGGTTATAGCTGAAATTCTCAGCACTTCTTCCAGCCTTGTCTAGTTATTAAAGAGAATTTATGACCCCTAGATATTCTTTTCAAGTACGAGCCTACTGCATGGAAGTCACTGGCTGTTATTTGTAGTTCCTAGGAATCCTAGCAGGACCTGTTGTTCCAAGAGCTGTACAAACACCAAACAAACCCAGAAAGCCAGTAACTCAAGACCAGGAGTGACTGTGGTAGAGAGAAAGAAGCACAAAGCCCC